TCTTTTCATCTCCAAATTGTTTATCCCACCTATGTTCTCTAGATAGATATGCAGAGACATTAATAAGCACAGTGGGTTGATTTTTAAAGTTGATTTTGTATATTTATTGAGTTATATTGGGTTATATCTCGGGAATTGAAAATGTTATGTTGTGGGGAATCTAGGGTCTGTCTGGGTTCTGCTATCGTCCTCCAAGAAACAACAGAAATAACTACAAAACCCTCCAACACCCCAAGCCAGCTACCATCAAGTTGGTTTGACTTATGGCCACAACCCTGCACACAGTGGGACTGCCCGCGGGGTTCCTGAGGCTGCAGTCTTTGTGGGAGCAGACTGCACACCTTTCTCCCATCGAGCAGTTCGTGGGCTCCAGTCTCTGACCTTTGCGTTGCAGCCACCGAAGCTCTTTATTCCTTAAACAGAGGACGCACACTTTTAAAATTATTATTATTTTAGTAGACAATTAGTTGGACTCAAACTGCATACCTGTCACCTGAGGATTTTGTTAAAATGTTGTAGCAGCTCAGATATCAGCTCAGCTCTTTTTCCCCTAATGGAGTGGGCTCTGAGGTTGTTAGGCTTGGGTACTGTGGAGGACAGGCAGATTGGGGCCTAGTCTCTCCCTACCAGGAGGGCTCTCCCTCTGGGGCCTCTTTCCCCTGGACTTTCTCTTCACTCCTGAGGGCTGCGGCTTTCCGAAGCTCTCCAGCTCCGCACTCACTGTCCAGCCTCACAGAGATGCTGGCTAGCGGGATAAATGCACGGGAACCGGTGCAGGGACCTTTCTTGGTCCCACAGTCAACCCCCTGCAGACTCTGTCTGCTTTTGGTATCTCTCTGTTCAGGCGGCTGAGTTTTTCATTTCCGTTCAGAGTTTAGCGTTGCTATCTGTGGCAGGAGGGTGTGCTAAGCGCTCACTCCCTCATTCGCAGAACAGGAAGAGCTGAGGTTTCATTTGCGCTGCCTGGGTAAGCCTGAGGACATACAGCTCATAAAACTACAACTAGGCCTTTGTCACAGATGAGCGTGGGGGAAAGGGGTGGCCGTCTGCTTCCACAAGGATCACAGGATTGGAAACACCATGAGGCGTTCTCAGTCCTATGGGTTCGCAACGAACTGAGATCAACTCAGGAAAAGCGTCTTCGGTTTGGTTTATAGATAAGAGAATAATCTCACAGATCCATCTGGCTCCACCCTCACGCTCCGCCATTCTATCCAAGTCCGTGGCAACATGGTGGAACGCAGGTGGTATCCACCATGGAAGACAGAGGAGGAGTTGGCAGGGAAGGAAGGAACACACCTGTCCACAGGCAGAAGTCAGAATCGACAGGTACTTTGGTAACCATGCACTCAAAACCTGGCAGACTGGCTTATTTGAAGGCTTGACATCTTTCTTTGGGATCTCTTCCCAGAATTCCAGACCTTGCAGATGTGCCAAGAGGACATTTATCTGGAGACCAGTAGACTTTTATCAGGATCTGAGCACCACCCCAGACAGATTCAGAAACCAAACAGTTTCTCTCCCTCATGAGATTCTCTCCCTCAACTCTCTCATTTTAAATATGAGGAAACTTGTCCCCCGCCCCCACCCCACCCTCCAAAGTGAAGTGGCTTTCTCAAGATCAATCAGTCCTTTATCAGTGGATTTGGGACCAGTGCTCACATCTCTTCACCCTGTGCTCTTCCTATCAAAGAAGCAAAATCGTAGCCCTCCCTCACTGGCCCCGCTACTCCACCACCACAGCATAGTACCACCATTTGCCCAAGGCGCTCTGCTGGCGTTATGGGCTCTGTGTTGGGCTGCGAACCTCAGGGTCAGGGGCTCAAACTACCAGCTGGTCCATGGGAGAAAGATGAGCATCTGCTCCTGTAGAGGCTGACGGTTTCAGAAACCCCAAGGAGCTGCTTCTACTCGGTCCCATATGCCAGATTCGGCTGGATGGCAGTGGCTGTGGTGAGTTTGGATCCGTTAGCAGAAGGCATGGATCGTCATCCTCAACCATGTTTGCCTTCCAGAGTACTTGAAAAGCATCATGCTCCTCTGATACCCACAAATACCTCAGTGAAGCCCAGCCTAACCACCCACCAGTGACGGAGGCTGATGGGTCCCAAGTGGCCTATGTGCTCTGCCACCATCTCTCCCGCACCTCCCAGCACCCACCGTAGATGCGGAAGGCGTACTCGATCTTCAGGCTGGGGCAGGCCTGCTCACTGAACACAGACGCCATGCCCAGCAAATCCTCGAAGGAGAACACGTCGTCGTGGGAGAACACTTTGCAGATTCGGTCTCGGAATGGGTTGGCCTGTGGGTGGAGAGGAGGGTCGGAGAGGCTATCAGTTCAGGGCCATGCCTCTCTGGGTCGCTTCGTCATCGGAGAAGGGCAACTTATTTTGAGATAAACCCAATAGCAACAATATAAATATCAGAGTAGATGCTAGCTCAAGGAGCCAGGGTCCTAGGTATGATGGAGGTACCCGGGCACTATCCTGACGCAGTGCAGGCCAGCACTCGCATTCCAAGACTCACACTGGAAGTGTAATTATGAACATCTTCCTTACTGTTACAAACATCTGAGGGTAAGTGAAAAAGTATTGCTACATGGGCGTGGGGGAGTGGGGATGGGGCAAGAGGAGGGAAAAAAGAGGAGCTGATACCAAGGGCTCAAATAGAAAGTAAGTGTTTGGAAAATGATGATGGCAGCCTATGTACAAATGTGCTTGACACAACAGATGGATGGATTATGATAAGAACTGTAAGAGCCCCCAAACACATGAATCCCTGGCTTAGCTCCCACTTACTCCTCTGGTCCCGATGGCTCTTTTAATGCTTGGCATGTGAAAACTTCTCTTTCGTATCTCTTGGGCTCAGCTGTGTAGAAGAAGTCTGCTTTTGTTTGACTGAGCATTCCTATATAGTTGTGGAAGGAGGTGACATCGGTGTCATCCTAGGTGGCTACATGGCTCCCAAACTTTGGTGAGCATACACATCACCGGAAGTTCTTGTTGAAAATAAGAATTCAACTTCTCATCCCCGGAGTTCCTGCTTCGGAAGTGGCCAGAGCCCAGGAGAACCAGGCCGCCCTGCAAGGACCTCTCCAAACCTTCTCCGTCTGCTACCCCATCCTCCCCATCAAATCCCCTCACAAAGGCTTGGTTTAACGGACTCAACTGAAGGCCGATCCTGGTGACTCCTGTGATATGTTTCAGGTCACATGTCCCCAGCTAAATGGCTTTACAGATGACATTCCCAAGTTTCAACTAAATTAACTCTCACAAATGGATCCACGACTTAACAAGATCCCTGCAAGAGCCACAATTGATGAGAATGTTTATAATGGCTTATAATGCACCTGCACGGGAACCACAAGTAAATGTCAGAGCAGATGTCTCTTGTACCCAGAGCCCCAGGCCTTCTCTACGAGGCCCAAGGGATGAGGACCCAAGGGCAACGTTCAGAAGGGTTGGGAAACGCAGGGAGGAAGTGAGGTAGGTGATGTTATCGTGTCGGGATTGCCATCAACGGCCGGAAACAAAATGTGTATGAA